TCAGGCAAGAAAAAGAAATTAAAGGGATACAAATGGGAAAGGAGGAAGTTAAACTATCCCTGTTTGCAGATGACATGATACTATATATAGAGGACCCAATAAACTCCTGTAAGAGACTACTGGAACTCATAGAAGAGTTTGGTAATGTAGCAAGATACAAAGTGAACGCTCAGAAATCAACAGCCTTTGTATACACAGATACTGCCAGGGCCGAGGAAGAACTACTAAGATCAATCCCATTCACGATAGCCACAAAAACAATAAAGTACCTTGGGATAAATTTAACCAAGGATGTCAAAGACCTCTATGATGAAAATTACAAAACACTAAAGAAAGAAATAGAAGACGACACAAAAAAATGGAAAAACCTGCCATGCTCATGGATTGGAAGAATCAATATCATCAAAATGTCCATTCTCCCAAAAGCAATTTACAAGTTCAATGCAATACCAATCAAAATACCAAAGTCATTCTTCAAAGACTTAGAAAAAACGATGCTGAAATTCATATGGAGAAACAGGAGACCCAGAATAGCTAAAGCAATCCTTAACAATAAAAACAAGGCCAGAGGCATCACAATTTCAGACTTCAAGGCATACTACAGGGCAGTTATAATCAAAACAGCCTGGTACTGGTACAAAAACAGATGGATAGACCAATGGAACAGAATAGAAACACCGGAGATCAATCCGAACATCTATAACCAACTCTTATTCCACAAAGGACCTAAAACCAACCCCTGGAACAAGGACAGCCTCTTCAACAAATGGTGCTGGGAAAACTGGATGCACACATGTCGCAGTATGAAGCAAGACCCCTACCTTACACCTTATACCAAAATCCACTCAATCTGGTTCAAAGAACTAGAGATGTGCCACAACACCATGAAACTAATTGAGAACATAGGGGAAACCCTTCAAGATATCGGAATAGGCGAAGAATTCCTGGAGAAGACCCCACAGGCACGGGTAATCAAAGATAAAATAAACAAATGGGATTACCTCAAATTGAAGAGTTTCTTAACAGCAAAGGAAACAGTCAGGAAAGCAAAGAGGCAACCAACAGAATGGGAGACGTTATTCACAAACCACACAACAGATAAAGGATTAACAACTAGAAGCTACACAATGATCAAAAAACACCACAGAATCAAAACAAACAACCCAATAAAAAAATGGGCCAAGGACCTTAACAGACATTTTTCAAAAGAGGAAATCCAAATGGCCAACAGCCACATGAAAAAATGCTCAGGATCCCTAGCCATCAGGGAAATGCAGATCAAAACCACAATGAGATACCACCTCACTCCGGTTGGATTGGTTTACATACAGAAATCAACCAACAACAGATGCTGGCGAGGATGTGGAGAAAAGGGGACACTAATCCACTGTTGGTGGGAATGCAAGCTGGTAAAGCCACTATGGAAGACAGTCTGGAGAGTCCTCAGAAACCTGAATACAGCACTCCCACAGGACCCAGCCATCCCACTCCTTGGAATATACCCAAATGGAATTAAAGGGGTGAAAAAAGCCATTTGCACCTCAATATTTGTTGCAGCTCAATTCACAATAGCTAAGACATGGAATCAACCTAAATGTCCATCAACGGATGACTGGATAAAGAAACTATGGAATATGTACTCTGTGGAATACTAAACAGCAGTAAAAAACAACGAAATCCGGGCATTCACAACAAAATGGAGGAAGCTGGAAAACATCATGCTGAGTGAAATAAGCCAGTCCAAAAGGACAAATATCACATGTTCTCCCTGATTGATGGCAACTAAACGAGCACCTAAAATGATACCCACTGAAGTGAAATGGACACTATGAAAGACAATGACATGAGCAGCCCTTGTCTAGACTGTTGAGGAAAAACTTACTATTTTGTTCCTTTAGTATTTTTGTTGTTGTTGTTGTTGCTCGATTTGCTCTACACAAGACCACTGGTTGAACTCTGCAATCAATGCACAACCATTCTTAAGCGTTTAAAAATTAATAGGAAATTGATCTCTGTGGAACATGGGAGTGGGAATAAGAGAGGGAGGAGATATATAGGATGACACATACTCAATCAGACCTACCATGGTGGAACTGGAAATGTGCCAGGGGATTTCAACTCAATCTTACCAAGGAGGCAGGTACCAATGCCAGTGCACTTGGTAAAGTGACAAATATAAATACACAACTGATCCTAAAGATAGGGTAAGTGTCGAAGAGATTACACAAATAAGACCAGTGTAAGCGAATAATGAAAGATAGAATCGAAAGGGAGAGAATGATCCTGCGGGGGAAGCAGGTCACACAGCAGACTCATAGAATGGCAAATGCCCAAAACAGCACTCCTGCCTCAGAATCAACCCTTGGGACATTCGGATCTGACTAAAAGGTCCATGAGAGTCTCACAGACATGGAAAGCCATGACATGGTGGCAAAAAGCAATCTAAATTAAGGATCCTGGTGAACAACACTCCAGCAGAAGGATCAGGCCATCAAGGAGAGAGGCGCCTTTCTCTGAAGGGAGGAAGGAACCTCCACTGTGATATGGCCTTGACTAAACAAATTCAGAGTTCCTGAACTCAAGGGGCTTCCATAGCCTAGACAGCTCATAGCAACAGTCTTGGGTAATTGCTGACATCATAAATAAGAGTGCCAATTGTTAAATCAACAACGGGAGTCACTGGGTTCATGCTCCCCACACAGGATCTCTGTCCTTAATATGTTTAACTATGAAACTTAAAAACAACACTACTAGTCATACAATACCCTATACCTAGTTTGGTTGTGTGAGTGCAACCTGTTGAAATCCCTGCTTAGTATATACTAATTTGATCTTCAGTATATTAAGGTAATTGAAAATGAAACGTGATAAAGGGTGGGATGGGAGAGGGAGTGGGTGAGGGAAGGGCCACGGGAGGGAGGGAGGTCGGGGGGGAAGCCACAACAATACAAAAGATGCATTTTATATTCTACTTAAAACTATTGGTTGAACTCTGTAATTAATACACAATTATTCTTAGGTGTTTAATTAATGCTATAACTAGTACTCAAATAGTATTTTACACTTTGAGTTTCTGTGTGGGAGCAAAATGTGGAAATCTTTACTTAACATATGCTAAATTGATCTTCTGTATATAAAGATAATTGAAAATTAATTGTGATGTGAAGGGGAAGGGAAGAGGGAGTGGGAGAGGGGAGCCTTGTGGGTGGGAGGGAAGATACGGGGGGGAGGAAGCTATTGTGGTCCATAAGCTGTACTTTGGAAATTTATGTTCATTAAATAAAATTTAAAAATATATAAGAAAAAAAAAGAAAATGAATCTTGATGTGAATGGAATGGGGGAGAGAGCGGGAGTTGGGAGGGGTGCAGGTGGGAGCGAAGTTATGGGGGGGGGAGCCATTGTAATCCATAAACTGTACTTTGGAAAATTATATTTACTAAGTAAAAGTTTTAAAAAAGGTGGAATCTTAACTCATTGATTTTGTTGTTAAACTATAAGAATTTAAATTATTAATTTCTTGCTAAGCACTAATTTAGCCATATTCCAGAAATCTCAATATGTTGTATTGCCATAACCATCTAGTTTGTAGAATTTTCTGATTATCATTTTTGTTTCTTATTTTTAGTTATTTATTTATTTTTAAGATTTTATATATATTTTTTGAGAGGTAGAGTTATAGACAGTGAGAGGGAGAGTTTTCTGTCCACTGTTTCATTCCCTCCAGCAATGGCTGGAGCTGAGGCGATCTGAAGTCAGGAGCCAGGAGCTTCTTCCAGGTCTCCCAGGTGGGTGCAGGGGTCCAAGGACTTGGGCCATCTTCTACTGCTTTCCCAGGCCAGAGCAGAGAGCTGGATTGGAAGAGGCATAGACAGAACTACAACCAGCACCCATATGGGATGCTGGTGCCACAGGCAGAGGACTAACCTACTGCACCACAGTGCCGTCCCCTGATTTTCATTTGTGATTTCTTTTATACCCCATAAATTGTTTAGATGATTATAATTTTCATGTATTTGGGAAGTTCTTAGATACCTACTATTATTCTCCGATTCCATTGATGTCAGAAAACACATTCTGTATGATTTCCATATTTTTCAACTTATTGAGCTGCTTTTATGACTCATTATATGGATCATCTTGTTGAGTTTATCAAACACCCTTAAAAACACATATTTTGCAGATGCTGGCTATTGTGTCCTATAATCATCAGTTAGGTGGTAGAACATTGGAAATTGCCCTTCACAGATGTAGATTCTAATATCCAGAATTTATGAATGAATTACTTTGTGTTACAAATGAGAATTGCTGATACAGCTACAATAAGGACTTTGACATTGGAAAATTATCTCAATTTATCTCATTGGGCCTAATGGCACTACAGGATGCATTTAAGAGGAAAAGCAGAGGATCGGGAGAGATAATAAGGTGATCTAATGACAAAACTGAAAGTTTTCAATATACTAAGCTGCAGGTTTTGTAGAAGCAGGAAGGGGCTATTAGTCAAGGAATGCAAGGGGGGCTCCAGAATTTGGAAAAGATAAGAAAATGCATTCTATGCTAGAACCTCTATAGGAAACAATTCTGGCAGCATCTTGACTTTTGACCCAGTAAAATACATTTTAGACTTCCAACCTCTAGAACTGTAAGATAACAAATTCTACTTTAAATCATTATATTTGTAGAAATTTGTTACAGAGCGGTAAGAAACTAATGCACAGGTCAAGACATGTCTTGTTGCTCAGACCATCCATGTTTTACTGCGGTTTTGTTTAGTCACCTTTTCTACTCAGAACATAGTGTTAAAATCTGATTGCAGGTGAAGAATTGTCTTTTTGCCCCTTTAATTCTGACAACTTTTGCATTATGTAAGTTGAAGCTCTGTATTAAGTGCATGCATTTTTATGATTGGATTTCCAGTATAAACCATCCCAATCAGCCGTTCATATCTCCATTTAGTTCTGTTCTGTATACCTGGGATCTTCCCCATTCATGAATATTTCTGAAGTCTATCAGAGAATTTTACACAATTTGTAATGAGAATTTGAAGCTTTTGTTAGTTGATCCTCTCATTTCCAAGATTTCCACCTCAATTGCCAACTTCAATGTCACTATAATACTGTCCTGTCTTTTGTCATACAGCCTGAGAATTTTGTGTAAGAATTTTAATTGCCCTGCTCCTCAGTGCTGACTTCTGCCTGAACTCAGCTCAAAGCAATAAACAACAGATATTCCATTTTGCAATCATATACCCGCCTTGAGAATTTGCCTGTTAGTATAACCCAAGCACAGGAATGCTGTCTCATCACATTTCCAGATCTCATTCACCTGGAAAAGGATTACCTGGAGATGTACACCAGCAGGTGGGTATACTGGGGGACTTCTATAATTCAACCTAACACAAATAAAAGTAAAATCAACCTATTGGACTGTACTCTAAAACATAAATCTATTACCAAGAGCAAGTCAGAGGAATCATTTCCCTTTCTCCATCCATCATTTTATCAAACTGAAACATAAAGTAGCATTTGATGTCTGCTCCAGGGCAAAATTATTCTGTGATTATTCTATTCATTTTTTAGCTATTTCACATGTTGCTAATCAAAATATTTTTTCATTGGAGTTTTTGTTGGTTTTTTCTTTCTTTTTCACTATTTTCACTTATCATGTCTTCCTCAGGCTCAAGCACTACTTTCTTGGTTTTTTTGTTCCCCTTTTGTTTTCTTCTTTAATGTATTTATGTTTTTTATTTTTATTTTAAAGATTTAATTGTTTATTTGAAAGTCAGAATTACATAGAGAGAAGGAGAGGCAGAGAAAGAGAGAGAGGTCTTCCATCTGCTGGTTCACTCCCCAGATGGCTGCAATGGCCAGAGCTGCAAGGATCTGAAGTCAAGATCCAGGAGCTTCTTCCGGGTCTCCCACATGAAGGCAGGGTCCCAAGGACTTGGGCCATCTTGTACTGCTTTCCCAGGCCACAGCAGAGAGCTGGATTAGAAGTGAAGCAGCCAAGACTCGAATGGGAGCCCAAATGGGATGCTGACACTGCAGGCAACGGCTTTACCTGCTACACCACAGTGCCAGTCCCTAATATTTATATATTATAATACAAACATGCCTATCAAGAAACCTTAAGTGTTTAGTATTTTAACACACATACATGAAATTCATTAAATAAAACCACAAGCATAAATTTGAACATGCATTTCTAAGCTATTCTACAAAAAAGGAAAACCGTTATGTCTAACAGTAGGCATTCTAAAAGTATTTACAATTTCCATAATTATTCTATGGTCTGAGAAAGCAGACTACAATTTACTCTGTGCTTCTTAGGAATGTTTTTGAAAGAATGTAGTACACTGTTGCTTTCATGTAGTTATGGGGGTGTTCACAATGCTGTATTGCTCAGGGATCAGCTTTGTGGTATCTAAGAACTCAAAAAACATTCTCTTTAAGGCTGTTGGCTTTCATATCAAAGACATTAAAGATATTTTTTCAAGCTAATTTACTAAGATTTGAAAAATTTAATGTATTTATCAAACCTGTTGTTTCACAGGGCTCTGTAACCAAGAAATAAGACTAGATTGAAAATACTTTGAATTTAACATGACAATTCTTATGCAACATCTAAGATACTTGATAAGATCTTAAAAAAGCAGGCAGGGAAGTCCCAACTGGCTACTGCACTTCCCGCTTCTGATCCAGCTTCTTGCTAATGCAACTGGGAAGGTAGTATAAGATAGCTCAGGTGCTTGGGTTCATGCTACCCTCATGGGAGACCTGTATGAAGTTCCCAGCTCCTGGCTTCAGCCTGACCCAGGACTGGCTGTTGTGGGCAATTGAGTAATGAACCACCAGATGGAACATTCTCTCTCTCTCTCTCTCTCTCTCTCCTTTTCTCTCCCCCTCCCTTCCTCTCTCTCTCCTTTTTTCTCACTCTCCCTTTGAAATAAATAAATTCATCTTTCTTTTAATTTGTGGATTTGCTTCTTACTGCTTTTGAGAAAGCCTATGATTAATCTTTTGCATTATGGTTCAGCCATTTAATCAATGTCTTAATATTCACATTATAATATTGAAGCATTGCTGTGTTCCTTTGTGGGGGATCATGTTGTCTTCCTTATTTGTGCTTCTTGAATTTCTATGTTTATTTTTAGGCATTTGTGGAAATACTTTTGTTTTTTTTCCTCTGATGGCTTTTATCTTTGGACTATTCCTCTGTGGCTTAGTGGAGTGTCTGATCTCTCAGTGAATATCTAGAGGTGAGTACTGGGTGTAGTCAAGGAGTTCTGGGCAGTGCTTAGGGTTGGCACTTTTTTTTATCAGAAAGGAAGATTTGATCACCTCTGTTGAAGTAATCACACCCTCGATGCCTGGTGTTAGCCCACAGTGGGAGAAATACATGTCTTCGCTGCTGTAAGAAACCCACAAAGGGCCTGTGCAGTCTTCAGTGTGACTCGGATCCCATTGCAATGACCCACCCCAGGCAATCAGGGAGCTCTGAGCATGTGGAGCCACTCACAGGGGTTGCCCAGAGACCCAGCTACACCCTGTACCCTCTCATGGAGTGACAGAATTCCCACAGTCTCAGCACACAAGGCCCCCACAGTCACAGGGTTCGGAGAGCCACTCTGCCACGCTCATCTGTCTTGTCCACCGAGAGGTAGATATGTTCCCAGAGTCAGCTGTCTCTGGGTGCTCCACCTGGGCGTTTTGAGACCCATAGTCTGTAATATATTGAGAGGCTGGGGATACCTCACAGTCGGACGTGGGTGCCAGCTCCCTGTTAAGAGTCAATGGTCACAGCCCTTTCTTGTCTCACAATGGTACTTTCTCAATGCTTGTTCCTG